GGCTCAGTGAAAGAAAGGCATCAAGTTCTTTTTTTCCATTGGATAAAGCAAGTCAAGGAAACACATTGATAAAATTCCTTACTTCCACCTTTTATTTCAGAATAATTTAGAGAAAGTTTACCATCCTCCCATACATAGAAACACTTGCAAGTAAACAGAACAAATAAATCGCCATATTTTTCATAAAAAGTTTTACTGTGCTATAAAACATCTGAGAGTGAACGGAAATGATCATTTGAGGCAAAGTGTTACATGGGAAATGAGCAGAAAATAATATTTGCATCAAGGTAACTATAACTGGAATCCCAGAACTCGGTTTACATACATTCTACACCACTTCTCATTAAACATAACCTACTTCATTGATTATACCCCATGGCAGAAGGCGCTTTACGCCATTGGAATGTATGGCAAAGGGGACGTTTGTTCGTTCATATAAGACAATGGTAATTTGTGGAATACTCCCGGTGTTGCCAAATGATAGATTTTTTGCATTTGTATTGGGCAATTTACAAGGACATAATAATTGCAAAGAACTTGCGCTAATGGAAATACTAAGAATAATAAAATATGAAAATTTACAAGGACAGCCTTGAAAACTTTTCAGTGAAATAAGAGTAAGAAGATTAATATAAAGACTTTAAGGCAATGCTTCCTCGGAAATTCATTTAAGTAACTCTCCACAATGAGAAAGGATTTCTGGGTAATGCCAAGTTTACGTAGAGGGCTGTAAGTGAAAACATGCACATGACCTTTTTTGAACCACAGCACCTATTTCCAGACAGTACTGGCCTACAGGCCTAGTCGTTCTGCTTGGCATCAGGAATGAGCAACATTTAGGAAAAAAAGGCCATAGTGAAGACAAAAATAAGGTGTTTCAATGTGCTTTAAATAGTGCCTCAGTGTTACAGAAGCCCCTTCCAATTATCCTGCACCTATTCTTGTGGCCAAAACACCCCTCCTTAGCCTCATTATTTTTATTTTTTTTCCCCAGGAAGAAAAAAAAGACAGTATAATGCTGAAATACACACAAAATGGGGAAAACTCAAATACAAAGACCAATAAATGAAATAATCAACCCTAATACACCCCTCCTCCAAACAAATTGCACCCTTTATAAATTCATGAAAATAATTACATTTCACTGAAGCAGCTAAATAAGTGAAATTGAGAGTTTTTCGCTTCAGCAAAATTCTTACCAATGGCGACATCGATAATTGTGCAGCAAAATTAATTTTGCCTAAATTACTTTGCTTATCCCTACTTGGCATGTGAGACACTGCAGGAGATACAACACAAGGTTACAAAGAACACATGGGGTGACCTTTAGGCTCCCAGAATCCCTTTTTACTCTTAGAAGGGTTATTTGCTGTGAAATAAGACAAAATCACTGTGATCTTGTAGATTGTATCATAAGTTGTCATCTAGTCAAAAGTAGATCTGTGCCAATTTACAGCATGCCACATGTCAGAGATGTGTGATTATTGTTGAAAACTTAATTGTAGTGATAAATGGGTTGCAAATATATTCTTAGAAAATATGTCGAGTTGTTTCCAGGGATACAAGTGTCTCAAAATCAAAGATCTGTCCCTCATGGTTTGATAAAGCATAGGAAGACCCTCTGTTGCACATATTGTATTTGTTTCCTTGTAAGATTTTTTCTCTTTTTAATCTTCTGTGTTAAGGTAATGCACAGAGTAATTGGAAGGTATAGGATGACCAAGAAGTTAACAAGACACTTTCACTTTGTACAGTGGAAAAAAGTATGGGCGAACTACCTGAAATCCATTTATCACTGTGTTAGATCATTTAGGCCTGCTCCACAGCTATCTATGTGCAGTATGTGTGTTGGCGGATGCACAGATGCATTTTGGGGGTCATCCAATTTAATGCTCATAGGTCTCTCATGCATGTCAACACAGTAAACAATGCACCTGACTCTTTAATGTACCACAGTGCATTCATGTACATACAAATGTGCTGTTTTGTGGTGCATTAGCAAGTGATAATCCAGGAAAAATTTTGGGTGTGTAAACCTTTAAGAGGCCCATAGTAAATTAATGGGTTGAGGCACCATAATGCACTTCCAAGGGAATTTAAAAAAATAATGCCCTTAATTAATTGGAATTGAGTTCCGGTTTCATTTACTTCAAACTTAGTAAATCAGGTCCCTAATGTGAGACCATTAATGAGCAAATGTCTCACTAAAAAAGAAAAGGTAAAAGGTAGTGAGAAATATGTACACCCTTGTTGGCATCAGGACCTGGCTTATAGACACAGTCCCTTTTAGATGGAGAACATAGCTGGCATTGGGATATATATATATAAAGGAACTTCTGATGCTTGCAGTTGCTCATCATCACTCTGTAGTGAACCTGTAGATGGCCCTGGTCATAACACTAATTGCAGCTATTTAGTCTTTGTTGCAAACTGGTTTTAGTTGTCTGCAGTCCAGCTGGGAGGAAGACAAGAACTGTATTATAGAGGAAGGCATGTAAGCAGGAAGTAGGACAATTGTACTACAGCATACACATATACACTATATGGTCAATAGTTTTTGGACTCCTGACCATCACTTATGTATCACTTATTGGACATACCATTTCAAAATTAAGGAGAATTAATATGGAGTTTCCACATGTGCCTATAATAGCATCTGGAAGACATTCCACAAGATTTGAAGTGTGTCTGTGAGAACTTGTGCCCATTCGGTCAAAAGATTCAGCCATTTGTGAGGTCAAGTAAAGATGTTGGAAGAGAAGACCTGGCTTGCAATCAATGTTCAAATTATTTCATTAGGGTTGAGGTCAGTGCTCTGTGCAGGTCACTCGAGTTCCTCCACATCAAACTTATAAACTGTGGAGCTGGATTTGTGAACAGGGGCGCAGTCATGCTGGAACAGACGAAGGTCCCCAAACTGTTGCCACAAGGTTGGAAGTGCACAATTGCCTAAAATGTTAATGTATGCTGTAACAGTCCCCGTGACTAGAAACAGCTGAACACAATAATTTAGAAGAAGGTTTTATACTTTTGGCCATATAGTGTAATTGTATTGTCTAGAAAGTAGTGAAAGTGCCAAATAAGGCTTTTAACCCTTTCAGCTGATAAGAGTGAGGCCCCGTTTTGGTTAACGGGCAGTTTTATGCATTTCCAAGCTGTGAGGTCAGTGAAGGTTGGAATGAATATAGTGGCAAAACAATACTATCTAACCAATCAACTGTTAAGGTATCAGAAATGTACACAAGGGGTTGATTTTTTGAGAGAACTAGATGCTGTTCAAAATTAATATCCACTGTGCTAAATGAATGATAGTACATAATGTGCTCACTGGAAATACCCAATCATGTGCAAATGTAATAAAAAACTATATTATTTTTGATTGCATATATCGCAGTTTGGAGTGGACACAGCTTCTTATCCTTTAGTAAGCTTTGTAACGTGAACAGTCTCTGCCTCACATCCCACTGCCTTAATCTATGGTAATGTGTGAGACTTTCTAACAGGAGCCTATGGGGCTGTCACTCCCATAAAGAACAGGGAGATGGAGGCGCAGTCTGAACCTGAACCTTTTTGGGACAGAGTTTTTAAACAATGACTCTGCTGTACAAGGTCAAGGCGTAAAGTGTCCCATACATATCACCTCCCTCCCTCGCTTCGCTGGTTATTATTCATGTCGGCATTACAACCAGGTAACCGGCATTATCAGAAAGCAACGGCATCCCCATAGTTTTGGAAAGGTTTATTCCAGCACTGACAGGAGCCCAGCTATAGCAGGTAACAGCTGTCATGCCAGGCTCATTGTAATATATAGGTTCCATAGGGTGTCTATGAAGAAAATGAAAAGTTCAGTGAATTATCAGTCGATGGTTCTCTTGTTTGGGCTACATTATATAGCACTGTATTTATCAATGTGCAAAGAAATCCTGTTATGTTACAAGGAGACATTACCATTGGCTGTAGTTTCTTGCAGAGATTAAACAGGTTAATATGTTTTGTTAACTCCGATTTCATATTTCCAAGAGCTACAGAGCTGCCCAAATATAAAACTTGTAGGCCCTCTTTATGTGTGCGTTCCATCAATGCAGCAATGGACAAAAAAACTGACCTGTGCCATTTTTAAGGGAGCACACAGCATTACTGTTATGTGTGCTCCAGTGCAGGTAAGTTGGCGCTAACTGTACTTGCACGTTGGGGTGCTGGTCTAGTGACCACGATGCATACGAGGGAAGAAGGCAGTTCAGAATTATCACAGCCCACCAACACTAGCCACAGTGCTGAGAGGTTATATCTACCCAAAAGGAGGTCTAAACCTTCCACGCTTTACCCAAAACTAATCAAAAAGATTTGACTGGAGTTGGATTCACAAAAAAATCAAATCATTAAACTACATGAAAAAAGTGTCAGTCTTGTGATTACCACATCCCTCCTATGGTCACTTCTGTTTAGATTACACAGCTCAGCCCACTTCTTGTGTTATATCCCTCTTATCAGTCCACTTAGTTAGAATAGAAAGTATTATTATTACAGTAAGGAGTGCCCTGTGCTCTCCCGCTTCAATAAACCCTTCTAAGCCTGAATAACACTCCCACTCTCAGCCAGATTTCTGGTGTGCAGGAGGTCATTGAAATTTATATAATAATGGCATGTCATGAATTTTTAATTAATGCCCAACTGGACTAAATTGTGTTTTCAAGGTTTGGCCAAAAGTTTCATTTTAGTATAGACCTATAACATTATTTAATATAGACTCGCAGATCAAAACTATCAAAATGAAGTTTGGAAATGTTATGCTCCACTCCTGATCAATCGGAGCCCCTCCATGACCTGCTCCGGTTATGATTAATACTTTTAGCAAACCAACCAAGTTAATGACCCAGATGAAGGAGCCTGGGATGTATAAGGCGGTCAGCAAGTCTCTTAATTAATGACCAAGATTCCTGTACAATGGCTTAGCTTCCAAAGGGCCATCTGCACTAAGTACAAGTTCCAGATGTTCCGACTCTTTTCCAGGGCACACTCCTTCCAACCGACGTCCAGTCAAACGATGGAAATTCCATTATTCTAAAGTAAACTTGGATTTTGGGAAAAAAAAAATATCTCTAGATAAAATGAAAAATGTAATAAAGTGTACACATAATATGAATAGAACACAAAAGTTGTGTCTCGGGTTACAAATTGGCTACTACTTGGATATGAGTTGTAACAACTGCCGGTTGTATGAAAACGAGTCTTTAATACACGTTGGCGGTTGGGTCGCTCTGCTGTAGTAGCGGACAATACGTATCTTCAGGACAGGTTAGAAATAAACTTCTCCGATTGCGGTTACAGTCTGAGTATTCCCAAGCTGGCCGTTCACCAGCGAAAAATCTTACAATTCAGAGAAGAGTCTGTACAATGTTTGTCTCCTTCTGTAAACATCAGCTAACAAGATAATTGTGCATTTCTCTAGAGTTGATACTTAAAACCACTCCTGAGTGATTACCTGTGAATAAAGAAGAGAGGGAAATTATTATGTCTTATCAGCCACATCATCCTCCATCTAGTATGTAACAGTAATATTTCTGAGTGGTGAAAAGATTAACTCTTACTTGGGAGGAAAAGAGTGGTCCTTCTCCACCAAACACTAAGGCCTCATTCACAAGGCTAAGTGTCGGCCTGTACAAATATGTGCAGCGTGCACGGCACAGGAAGGACAGGTGCTGCGTGTAATTGTACGCAGCAGCCGGTTCTTCTCTATGGGAGGACAAGGCCGTACGCTCACCCGAACTGCACATCCGTGCGGGTGTCCGTACTCGGATGCAGACAGGATGGATCCTGTCTGCATCCGAGCACGGACACCCGCACCTGCACGGGTGTGCAGTTCAGGTGAGCGTATGGCCGCGTCCTCCTATAGGGAAGAACAAGCTGCTGCGTACAATCACACACAGCACCTGTCCGTCCAGGGAAAATGGCCGATACGGCCATGTACACAGCATGGATCCGTACAGGCCGACACTTAGCTGTGTGAATGAGGACTAATATTTCATCAGTTGCTTGGAAGTTAATGCTGTTTTTTAAAGAAGAACTACACCCTCCTATCCTTTGCAAGTGTGGATGAGAGCTGAAATAAGCACACTGCCAACCTTGACAATTATACAGAGGCAGCTAAAGAGGAACTTTACCCACCAACTTGCCTTCCAAAACAGTTACTTTTAAGGCATGCCAACTGTCAATGTATATTTTAATTGATGATAAAGTTTGTGATCACTCACATCCCAATTGCTATGTCTATGGCCACCTTTTGAACACCCATAGACATTACCCAGTTGCCGTCTGCCCAAAGTAAAAATACGGGCGGACGGCGGATGCTTCCTCGAGGGTGGACAGTTACGTGATTTTTTTTTCTGGGTGCTCTCGAGCAGGATCCCGCTCGGAATCTATACAGCCGGTAGCGGCTGTTACATACAAGCCAGCTGTTCGCTTGTATGATGCATGTAGTGTGCACCCCCCTCCATTGCCGCACTCCCCCGGGCTCTGCTGTTCCCCCTGTGAGCCCGGCATCGGCACAGTAGCTGCCTGTACAAAGAACGGATGAGAGATCAGCATTCCCCCACCGCTGATCCCTCCTCCGTTCTCTCTAAAGGCAGAAGTGATGTGCCTTTAGCTGTCATTTCTCTGGCTGCTATAGCTATAGAGAGGAAGCTGGTGAAGCAGATCTCTGCTTCATCAGCTTCTTTGGGGGTCCCCAGGAGACATTAGGGGTCTTAGAGACCCCCGAGATCTCCATAAAGAGGACCTGCTACTGTATATTATCTATCACATAGGGGGCTTGTTAGTCCCCTATGTGATAGCATAAAGAGGACCTGTGTTAACTGTAAAAACTAAAAAAAAGTTTAAAAAAACAATTAAAGACTGAAAATAAAAACACCCCAAAAAATTAATCCCCTGCGTGCACACACATATAAATGTAAATACTAGGGATGCACCGATATATATCAGCCACCAAAACATATCGGCCGAAAATTGCACTTTCCTGCCGATACATTGGCACATTCGTGATTTCTTTCTTCCCCGCTGGGCGCTGCTCTGTGTCCCAGCGGGGAGGAGAGAAAATGACAGCCGGCCGAGCGCTGCGGGAGAAGAGCGCTGTGAACAGCCGGTGTCTCTCCTCCCACACCGCTCGGCCGCCTATCACAATGCGGCAGAGCGGTGTGGGGGGCGGAGACAGCCAGCGCTGTCACAGGAGGCTGAGCTCTCCTCTCACACCGCTCACTCAGCCTCCTGTGACAGTGTGTGTCATAGAGGAGAGCAGGTACAAGCAGTCAGTGATCAGTGATTACTTAGGGGTCTATGCACGAAGCAGCGGAAGGATCTATCCGTAGCTTCGGACGATCCTTCGGCTAGCTTCGGCCCCAGGACCCCTTCGGTTCAGCAGACTGAACCACAGGGTTCTCGCAACCGAAGCAAGCCGAAGGATCAGACGAAGCTACAGCTGGATCCTTCGACAGCTTTGTGAATTACCCTTTAAATCTTAAAGTGACAGCTAAACCTTAAAAATGCATTTTGTAAAGTAGCCACCACTCCAAGCTCGCTCCTGTGATGGACTACAATCTCAAATTTAGGTTACTAATATGTTTTAAGATTGTTGTCCATCACGGGAATGAGCTTGGAGCAGTGGCTACTTTACAACACACACAGGGACCATGGGGCCACCATCCAGAAGGAAGGACAGTGTCAGCACCAATTCAGAGATGATTTGAGGATCTACAGCCGAGTGATACACAAATAAGATACATTTTTGTTAATAGTTAAGGTACTTAAATGTATTTTTAAGGTTTACTCCTGAGTTTAGTGTCACTTTAAATAGTGATCTGAGGGATAGTCCATTTATACTGGATGTCGATTCATCTAAGAAAGATAGATAGATAGATAGATAGATAGATAGATAGATAGATAGATAGATAGATGATAAAGAGGACCTGCTACTGTATATTATCTATCACATAGGGGGCTTGTTAGTCCCCTATGTGATAGCATAAAGAGGACCTGTGTTAACTGTAAAAACTAAAAAAAAGTTTAAAAAAACAATTAAAGACTGAAAATAAAAACACCCCAAAAAATTAATCCCCTGCGTGCACACACATATAAATGTAAATACTAGGGATGCACCGATATATATCAGCCACCAAAACATATCGGCCGAAAATTGCACTTTCCTGCCGATACATTGGCACATTCGTGATTTCTTTCTTCCCCGCTGGGCGCTGCTCTGTGTCCCAGCGGGGAGGAGAGAAAATGACAGCCGGCCGAGCGCTGCGGGAGAAGAGCGCTGTGAACAGCCGGTGTCTCTCCTCCCACACCGCTCGGCCGCCTATCACAATGCGGCAGAGCGGTGTGGGGGGCGGAGACAGCCAGCGCTGTCACAGGAGGCTGAGCTCTCCTCTCACACCGCTCACTCAGCCTCCTGTGACAGTGTGTGTCATAGAGGAGAGCAGGTACAAGCAGTCAGTGATCAGTGATTACTTAGGGGTCTATGCACGAAGCAGCGGAAGGATCTATCCGTAGCTTCGGACGATCCTTCGGCTAGCTTCGGCCCCAGGACCCCTTCGGTTCAGCAGACTGAACCACAGGGTTCTCGCAACCGAAGCAAGCCGAAGGATCAGACGAAGCTACAGCTGGATCCTTCGACAGCTTTGTGAATTACCCTTTAAATCTTAAAGTGACAGCTAAACCTTAAAAATGCATTTTGTAAAGTAGCCACCACTCCAAGCTCGCTCCTGTGATGGACTACAATCTCAAATTTAGGTTACTAATATGTTTTAAGATTGTTGTCCATCACGGGAATGAGCTTGGAGCAGTGGCTACTTTACAACACACACAGGGACCATGGGGCCACCATCCAGAAGGAAGGACAGTGTCAGCACCAATTCAGAGATGATTTGAGGATCTACAGCCGAGTGATACACAAATAAGATACATTTTTGTTAATAGTTAAGGTACTTAAATGTATTTTTAAGGTTTACTCCTGAGTTTAGTGTCACTTTAAATAGTGATCTGAGGGATAGTCCATTTATACTGGATGTCGATTCATCTAAGAAAGATAGATAGATAGATAGATAGATAGATAGATAGATAGATAGATAGATAGATAGATAGATGAGCCAAATCTTCCTTCATTTGTTTATCAAATGCTCCCCCTCCCAGACACTGCAGCTCACAGTGGAAGGATTTCGGCATTAACAGAGGTAGTGCTGTGAATCCAGAAAGTAGTGGGCAGGACTAGGTATGGCCAGGTGCTGACTGATAAGCTGCAGACTGGTGAATCAGCAGTGACAATGATGATAGCCACACCCTCTGGAACATTTTGTTCATCCCACTGTAGTGAAACAGGAATAGTCTACATGAGACTGGCAACACTTCTCTAAATTCAGGAGCAGCACATCATTGTTGCCACACCATCACAGCTGCATTAGGTGGACTTTACTGGTAGATTTGACAGGTTTTTGTGGGACTTTGCAGGAGGACTAAGAGAAAACTGTAAGTGCATATATATATATA